GAACGAGTTTTTGGAGAAAATAATGAAATTTTATAAAAGTTGACGAAAGGAAATCGAGGTCGAGGAATCCGAATCGGAAGTTAGTTTTTCAAAATTTTGAATTGAGTTTTTAGGATCAAGGAACAGGTTTTTGGAGTAAATAATGAAATCTTATAAAGGTTGACGAAAGAAAGTCAGGATCGAAGAATCCGAATCGGAAATGAGATTCTCAAAAAGTAAAATAGTTGTTCGTATGGGAAAATAATATTTTTCTCTTTGAACCATTGTTTAAGGAAGAAGCAATTTGTTGAGAAAAGATTATTTAAAAAAAGGGAGCTCGAGTTTCGGAAACGCCTTTTGTCTATCTGGAATATCCAATTACTGTATACTTTCGGTTCTCTTTTCACAGTATCGTTATAGATGGAAGTCGGAGTTTGGCCTAGTGAGGTGGGCGTTTCATTAAGTCTCATTGTGATAAAACAATATTTACATCCTACTGACTCTCAGTTTAATGAACACAACATTGAGCGATTCCTGTTTATTTTCAGTGGTTTCTAAGTTAAATGGCTTTTTTCTGCACAGTTTATTTAAGTCGAAAGAAGAAGCATGAAAAGAATACTGTAAGCGAAGTTCGAGACTGTAGGGCAAGTGCAAAAGAATCAATGATTGTATCGATGTGTTGAAAGAATGCAGCAAGAGAATATGAAAAGTGTGTGAGAGAGATATCTGCCAGCGACGAGCGACTACTATTGTAATCGTCTTCTAATGTAGTTTGACAAAATAACAACGCGAAGCCTACATTTATGAAGAATAATCTATTAAGATATGCTAAATTAAGAGCTCTAATCAAACTCGAATTTATTCGCTGAACAATGAGGTTGAAAAAATTAAGAATAGACAATAAGAATGTGTTGGTTCGGAGTAGCCGATCTTGAGTCATCATGTTGTAAAGCTAAAAGTTTTTTCAAGTAATGCCAATCTGACGTTTAATAGGGTTTAAGTGAAAAGAATTATCTCAGAATAAAATAAGATCAAAGGTGGTAGCAGCTAGCCGCGAATGGCACCCCAAAGGGGCGCCGACGAGCGACTGGCTGCTGCACTGGCTTCACTGCCGAAGCGCCGCGTCGAAGTATTGGGATTCGTTGAATCAAAGTCAACAGACGCGGTAAAATGAGCCGGAATAAGAAATATCAGATACATAAAGTCGAAAAAACTATGTCAGGTCAAGAATGAGAAATGACTTTTATGTTTGAACACAATACCTGAATAGTTCGTCGAAATGAAGACATTACTGAAAGAATTTATATTTGCTGTATCAGTAGTGGACATGAATGAAATAAAAGAGTATTTCATTGGGTATATATTTTTCTTTGTATTAATTCAAGTATCAGAATTTTTACTGACACATTCAAATAACCTGTCTAGTCTTATCACTGCTTTGAATAAGAGCTTGTTGTGTGTATGATGTTTTAATTAGAGATCAGAGATAAGCTCATTTATTTTCAGCTAGGGGTTCCAGAAAGCTCCTACTTTCCTAGAGAGCTCTATAGTAAACAGTATTATCGACGAATGTTGCAAATGTATACAAGTTTCTAGTAGAATTTTCAAAAAACTACTCCGCGTTTTCGTATAACTGTTGTGAACTTCTATTACTACATCTTCTGTGAAAAAATGGAGTATGATATCTTGTTCAGTCGAGGGCTAAGCGAGTCGAAGCGACGAACGTTACTTGTCATGTAGCTCCAGGTTTTTTAAATGCTGGATGATGTTTAAAGTATAACTGTTGCACATCAAAAATAAGGTAAGGGGATACTCAAATGCACACATACGCATATCTACATAATTCATACACTCGGAGAAAAAAATCACTCATAGAATTCCTCGTAGGTTCGGTAGCAGATACAGAACCCAAAATGCTTCTTTTTATGAACATACCAGGAGAACTTTCGCCACGATACCATTTTCAGATCTTTAGGAAGCGAAAATGTTCTGTATAAAAAACCTGAAACCATCTCGCTTCGAGATGAAACTGTAAAGGCCTCGTGTACAATATGAGGGTGTGATTGTAGGTACTGTTTATCTCCTGGCCTATTCACAGTTGACACAGCCACACCCGCCGTATACATGTACATCGATAATGAGTGCGACATATTAAATGGCCCCCTTATTATTTTGGCGATATATCTTTGGATTTTCATGCGGTTGAATTAATTTGTTTCTGAAAAGGGTGTGGATGTGGATGTGGGGTTATATGGGGTGACCGTATGGATGAGTGTGAGAGAGTCAATCTAATTTTTCTTTTCGTAGTCACAGTCAGAGCGATACGCACATTCATACGTAAATTTACACTCATACCCCACACCATCACCCTTTTCCGACTTAGGCACTTCTGGCGAGATTCAACTGAAAATGGAACCTTTTTCTAAAAGTATTACGTAGCACCATATTTTATCTACTTTTCAGATACTTTCGACAATACGATAATTATGCTGATTGCATTAACTGTTCTCATGTGAGTTATTCTCGATTCATTTGAAATATTGAATACTAGTTTATTTAATTGTTCAGGTGCATTGCAAGCATAGAAGGTGCACAAAAAATTTATCATTCATATCGTGATCTCTTTATCTTGATTATTAAACAGGGCAAATTCCAGCTACCTCCCAATGTCAGCCTTCAACATGTGGCACTCGAGTAGCACCATGTTCAACCAACTATGAGTGCGAATGTTTGCCACTTAGTTTAAAAATGGGCGGTGTATGTGCTATCGCACTATTCTCTTGCTCAAGTTTTGCATCTTGTTTGAGTGACAATATGACATGCGCAGTACCTTATACTGTATGTGTTAGCAGTACTCGCTGTGCCAAGTCAATGTGTTATCCACTAGCACTCGCCGCTCCGGAAGTGTGTCCCCCGCTAAATTCGACTTTGCCTACATCAAAAATGACCACATCGACAGGTATTTGTAATAAATTGTTTTTATTTGAAAAGAAAAACAGGTATATTGAGATTTCTAAAACAGGACATTATCCTAGTTTTCAATGTTTTAATCAGCTCGGTGACTACATACTATTGCAAATCAAAAAGATTTAATAACATCAAATGCTTCAGATATTTCGGAAATTCTTATAGTATAAGATATGTCCTTATTTAAATAATTCTTGGAGTGTTAACAGATTTGAAAACTGAATCACATCGTGCAACATCGAGCAATTTAGTATATAAAAATCTTGAGCGTCCTCAAACTGGCGATATTTTCTATTTCGAAGTTCTGAATATCGATGCAACATCACCCAAAATCATGGATGATGTTGCGCTATTGATTTTTTGAACTATATGTGCATTTATCTGCGTTATTTAATGCAGCATTGAGAGGTAAAATTAGTAAGGATCGTTAGAGTAATAGTTGCTTCATATCTTAGGCAGTTATGATTAGGTTGTGCCCTTGAAGTTACTATTAAATGATGCACCTATGGAAGGATTATCTTAAACCTTTTATCACTGGTTCTTCTAAATTCTATGACAACTGATACACCTGTAAAAAAAACTGGCGAATATTACACTAGAAGCATCTCTAGTGTACAAATTTGCGATATCATTACTATAAGAATCTTAAACTCATACACCATAGCAGTAACAATACGCTCGACAACGACGTCGATACTAACGCAGACATTAACGACAACAACGACGACACGGTCGACAACGAAAACAACACAACCAACAACACGATTGACAACAAGAATAACAGCAACACAAACAACAACAGTAACAACAACATCAACAACAATAACAACAATAACATCAACAACAATAACAACAATAACATCAACAACAATAATAACAACGCGCTCAACAACAACAACAATCCGTGAGTAGACCGTAAATGAAGTGTTACACCAAAATTCATATACCCCCCCCCCCCCCCCCCCCACAATAAAAGACCCCGAGTCTTCTCATATGTGTAAGCGGCAAAAATTTTTTAGGGGGTCTTGTATTACGACTCTTGTATTTTTGCGAAATTCAAGAGTATTTTCGAAGAATTCAGTAAATGCAAGTTTGGACTGAGGTTGTACGGCTTCTCAGCGCCTATCATAGTAGCAAGAAGCTGGGAAAAGCATCAATTTATCTTCGCAAAGCAACAAAAAATACTGAGTAATTGAGATCAGCGACTATATTATTTTAAAATTCTGTTATTTCTAGTTTGGTGGAATTGACGTATATTTTCAAAGAAAAAAGTGAGTGTAAGTTTTCATTTCGAGGTTCTGCGGCTCCTTCGCTCCTCTCCCCAATACAGACAATCCCACATTACAGACAGGTCACCATTACAGAACTCAGCAACCGTGCATAGAAGGCTTTTAGTTTCTATATAATATATCAGTGCTTTCGTAAATATTCGAAAAAAAGCTATTTTGAAGTTTAAAAATCAGGCATCAGGATAACAGCTTTAAAAGATATACGGGACTTCCACATTTTAGCTCCTCTCAGGCTGCGCTAGCAAGCTTTCTGTTGTAAATATCATGTTTTTAAGCTTTGTATAACTCACGTATATTTTCGAAGAAACTAATAGTAACCGTAAGTTTGCGTCAAGGTTTTTCAGCTTGTTCCGTTTTCGCAATAGATGTAGTAGCAATCACTTAGATTTAAAAGGTTATGGAAATTTCTGGAGTATTTTGATTATTCATAGTTCAGATATTGCTATGAGTATTAGCAAAAAGTTAGCCTTCTCTTTTTGCGCAGATGAAAGTTTATACGATCCATGAGAAAGATAATCTTTTGTGATTTTTGGGTGTGGGTGTGGGGTGGGTGGGCGTGGGTGGGGGTGTGGGTGTGAGTGTAGAGGCGGTTGTAAAGTAGACTGACACCCACACCCACATCCAACCCACACCCACCAATAGACTTTTGCATCTTGAGCCGATTTAAGAATTTGTTTCTACTCAGTTTTTCATGCTGGATCTGAAAAAGATATTTTCACGAGCCGAAAAAAAAAGAAAGAAGTAGAAAATATTGTATATTTTTACAAAGATCTGTTTTTTTTTCGAAAAATGACATCTTTCGAGTATTTCGTATTTTTCAATCGGAAAGAAGTATTTACTAAGGCTAAAAAATAGATTTCCGTGATCAGCAGCTCTAGCTCTATCAAATGATGTACAAAAACGGCAAAAAAGTTTTTACTTGAAGTTTGAATTGCCTGCACCTTATAAGTTACATAAAAGCATGATTATACTATTTCCTAATTTTTACAAATATGTATTTTGTGTCTTACTCCGTACATCAATATACATACAAGATTGTTAGGATCTAGAGAAGATACAACCAATGCCTATACGAAGCTGATTTAATTATTAAATTAAAACGTGAGTCGAATAATACGAAATAATTATAATCTCGATTAACAGAAGAATAGCACGATGAAGAGCGACAAGAAAAAAATCACGTATTAGAAAAAAAATGTTTGAAATGTACGAATAGAAATTGCTATATATTAGCCAGTGTGATCAATGTTTTTTTAGAAATTTAGCATTCTGCGTTGGTTTTATTAGTATTATGAACATATTCAAGAAATCTGATAAGTAGAGCGAAGGAAGATTTCGTAATTCGAAATGAAATAGTTTCGTTGGGATAATGTTTTACAGCGTATGTTTTAACTCAAGTGATAGAATTAGTTGCAATCTATCCATTTATTTGATATCTTTTGGTGATAAACTTTTCCATACATTTTTAGGAATATAATATAAATTTTTAGTAGTCTAAACGTCATAAGTACTAAACTTTGGCTCAACAACGGCGGCGCTAATCTGTTTTTGTAATTAAAACAATCCTCGGCGAAAATCGAAGCGATTTTGAAAATTGGAGAAAGGATTTACACGATTTTTGAAGCTTATATATAGAGTTGAACTCCTGGATTTGAAAATTTTCAACTGAAAAATCCAGAAATAAACAAGTTTTTGCGTAAAAAACCTAACGAAAATCTTCAGTTTTCAAAAAAAAGCTTAAAAACTGTGGGAGTCTTCTATTACGTCGTGGAACAGAATCTTTTCCCAAAGCGGTCTTCTATTATGGGGGGGGGGGGGTCTTGTAATATGCCTTTTCTCTATTATTCGACTACACACCGCTGCCACTTTTTCTGTACAAATAGATGTTGATATGCCCTACAAAAATGCAGAGACACGAGACTTTGAGAGGTCTGGGCAATACTTCTTGATTAAATCACGTTGGTATTCATATGCCTAAAATACAGAGTTTTAGGAGATAAATCAAATTCCATCTCTGTTATTTGACAAGACATCGGCGCCATTTTTTCAATATAGATAGGTGTTGATACACTATCTTGAGGGTGTGGGTGTGCGTGTGGACATGGATGTGGGTGTGGCTGTGGATGTAGGTGTAGGTGTGAGGGTAGAAGGAAAAGAAAAGAACCCACACCCACTCCCACATTCACGTCCACACGCACACCCACAACTATACGCACTTGCACACGCACACGCACACCCCACACCTACACCCACACCCATACCCACCCACACCTCACACCCACCCACACCCCACACCCATTCACTCCCACACCCAGCCACACCCACCCAGCCAGCCACACCCACACCCAGCCACACCCCACACCTCACCCGCACCCACACCCACACCCACCCCACACACACCCACACCCACACCCGTTTGCGATCATGTCACGGAGCTTCATTTACATAATATGATTTTCAGTGAAATAAAAGTTGTTAATCGCATACTTTCTTACTGTTCTCAGAAACTATTTCAACGGCAACTGTTTGATTGTAAAGGTTAAACTGACACGAAATGATCAATAAATTTGATAGAGTAGTTATTTATTCAACTCTGTCAAATCAATTCTTTGTGGGCGTAAAATTTGTCCTGAATTTCGTATTACATTGAAGCGTGAAGTAGATATTCGTTTCTTGTATCACAAACACCTTACAAGGAAACAGTTATCGCTAGTCTAAAAGAGGGAACCTGGTCCTCATGAAAATAAATGTGGAAACATCGGATTCGACTCCCAATGTTATGAATTCTTCAAAAAAGTGAACTAAATAGATGATTCATTCCAGCACGTTTAGACACCAAAATTATCCAAGCGATTCCCTGATATTAAAACTTGATTTAGATTGATTGCCATTTAGCAAATAGAGTTTTGGGACAAATTTAGCTTAGATTCGACTTCTTCGTCCTAGAAATCCTTGAGGTATCATTGCTGTCATTGAAAGATGAAGCTTTACTTTTTGATTACTTGTAACGTAGACAAAAATAGAACCATTTTTCATTCAAGTATCATTGCAATAGATAATTTAGCCACCTGGTTCTCAATGTTTTAGATACCATTTTCTAAGCTGTGAAATTCTCTATCAAATGATATAGAATAGTTTAAGATTTTATTTGATTGTGGGAGGAAACGCTTTTCACGAAAATCAACATAAATAAATGTTCGCATACAAAATTATCAGCAATAATGATTCAGTGATAACTCAAGAATGGTTTGGCAAATTGTCCTCCTCGAGCTTGACCGAAATATTGCTGAGATAAAACTGTGTAGAAAATCTCATCTCGATCGGGACTCATTTTTCAATAGTTATCGTGTAAATGACTTGACGGCCGGACACATTGACAGATTTTAGGGTACACTCACCTTTTAGGTACACGAAAAAAGTGTTGCACTGCATCTTTTAAAGTTCTAAATTCGGATACTATTTTCTAAAACTTTTTCTAGATATAGTTAAAAAGTTTTGGTCAGAAAGTCTAGAACTCTAAATAGTTCAGCACTTTTGACTAGTCATAAAAATGTTCATAAGTGGTACCCAAACTTAGAATTCTGAAGTATTTAGCCTTACAACTTTTTTATTCATATTATGAACTTTCAAATTTTACGAGATCTTAATGTTTCCCTACATCTTTATGAATCATAGCAAATGTCTTCTAGAGTTTTGGGTAACCATAGACATTGTGGAAGACTCTTCCTATACATCAAATACTTTTCTCTGACATACTTCATTGATGTACGAATTGTAGAAATGTCGTTGAGATTTGATGCAAATACATTCATGGAATTTTAGTGTTTTAACTCATATTGAACTAAACGAGAGTAACATTGAATATGAACATTTATTGATTTCATCTTTTCAACGAATCTCAAAAAGAAGGAATATATATCTGTAGAGTTCTTGTTTTTATGTAGATTCATCTGAATCCAGACAACTATCTTGATTTAAAAACACTGATCATAGTGCATCATTTAGAACTCCTCAAGAATTCTGAGAACTCATGAAATTCGTCAAAAATCTAGCGTATCTCTTTGAAAATCCGTTCCGATTTGCAGAGTTTTCCAAGACATACAAACAACCCTGAAAAGTTCGTCATAACTGAAAAAGCCCGTTAGGAATTCAATACAATGCGCTATATCTCTTCTTTCTTGTAGGTGTTAATACTATCTGAAAGTCTTTTATTATTTATAGGGGTGTAAAATGTATCTATCGATTTATAGACGTTTTTCAAGGCTTTCGTAGCCGCTTAGAATCTTCAAAACTTCGTAGAAGCTTTTCAGTTTTGTGTAGACTTCCATAGATATTTATAAGTCCGAAGGGCTGTTCAACAGTTCTAAAGAATCTTTATACGTTTAAAAGATCTTTGAAGGCTTTTATGAATGCTTGCGAATTCTTAAGACTTTTAAAGAATTTCTGAAGCTTTTAAGACTCCGCTGAATTCTTCTTCACATTCAAACACCTCTACAGATCCTGAGAAGTTTCAGAGAACCTTGTAGGATTCCGCTTGATCCTTCTGGTTTCTCGATGCTTTGGAGAATGCTAAAGAGTTTCTTGAAAATCTGCTGTATTTTTTAAGACTTCTAGCAGTAGTTATGGATCTCATTAGGTGTTTACCATTAATAGAAAGTTTGAGAGACATTGAAAACTGGATTGGTCTGCTCTTATTATTTAAGAAATCATAATACTAACAACAGTCGAGTTTGTCAGTCATGATTCAGTTCATGAGCTAATGCATTTCTATACTCCAAGTTTTAGATCGAAATTCGACAATTAATATTTTATTATTCCTATGGGAAGTTATCCTTTCGAACTGAAAGGTAACAGGAGCATGTAGTATCTCGGCAGCGATGAATTTAGAACCTTAGTCTTTACACAGTATTCGTAGTTCATTATAATAAATACTGTGCATATTTACGGAACCTGGAAGTTATCTATCAACTTGAAACTATTCACTTGTAAGCGGTATGAAGTAATGACGTTGAACAAAAACTACCAAATCTAAATATCTTATTTATTAGACTGTTCGGCTGGACCACTGTTATTTTGAGTGAATACAGTACATTTTGCTTTTTCTCCCTTATCAATGACTATCCACTGCAAAATTATGAGTTAAGGTCTTTACTGCTTATAAAAGTCCGACAAATTTTTATAGTAAAACTGAGAAGACACTGAAGCTCCATCCAGAAAGAGGAACAGCCTCATGACTAGCGTTCAGCTGAAATCATCTGAATTCTAGCTATCACAATTCCCTCTTCTATTATCTTTACAGTCATGACGTATGCTTGCACATGTTTACATTTAGCACTGACCTGCTCTGATAACATACAAAATGGTCTTGAAACAGGTGTTGATTGTGGTGGACTTTGTCCTCTAAAGTGTGACGGTCAGTCCTGCAGATTTTTTTCTGAGTGTAAAAGTGGTGTTTGCGGATGGTGGAGAGGTTGTCAAGGTAAAAAACTAGATAAGCACACGTTTCCTCTTACTGAAATGACATTTTAGCGGTTAATTGCAATGATGGTTTTCAAAACAATGGTGAAATTGGGATCGACTGTGGTGGTCCATGTATTAAGCGATGCAATGGACGAGTCTGCACAATAGCTGATCATTGTTGGAGTGGTGTCTGTGGAGTCAATAAGACTTGCTCAGGTAAATCATTCTAGTGGAAGTTTTTTGGGATGCAAATCTTTTGCTTCAGTACCCACATGTTCTGATAACGTACAAAATGGAGTCGAGGAAGGTATCGATTGTGGTGCATCTTGCCCTCTAAAATGTGACAATCAGTTCTGCACATCGGATAATCAATGCAAAAGTAGTGTTTGTAAGGAACGTCGTTGTCAAGGTATGTAGCTAGAAAATAAATGTATCTCTTGTACTGAAAATAGTTTATAGCGGCTAGCTGCAGTGATGGCATTCAAAATGGCGGAGAAATCGGTATTGACTGCGATGGCCCATGTGCCCAACGGTGCAATGGTAGAGGTTGTACATTAGCTGCTCATTGCTGGAGTGGTGTCTGTGGAACTAACCAAACTTGCTCAGGTGAATGATTTTAATGAAAAATATGAGTGCTGGCCAGAGATTTGTCTGAAGCTATCACAGTTAGAATTGAATTGAAGCGAGAATCTCAAACTTACATATTTTATAGCCCTTAACACAGCTATGCTTATTTTTAGGAGTTAAAAGTATCTATTTGAATCATAATTATGCTAATGAATAATTATTTGTATAGCTGAGCGACATATACGAGACGAAATCCTTTAATTATTTTGATATCAATCATAAAATGACGTCTTTGACTGAATAGTTCACTCCTTGCTCATTCTCGCCATCTTCTGTCTATAATTGCATCCACTTTACATTATGTGATAGCCTGTTTTTGATTGTCATAGAAGGATTAACATGCAACACACTTTGTCGTGTTTTCTCTGTGCACTCTATGTAATAAGTTCCCTTTGTAGTCTTTTGACTTATCTGTTGACTTTGATTCTCATCTTTTTATAATAAGCAGACTCATTCATTTCTCTCACTGGTTTTGATTGTTTATCGGCTGTTAAGCAATCATGTCTTGGCCCGTTTCTTAAGTTCTTTTTTTTCTTTTGCTCGTTTTTATTAAATTTTCCTTTTTTTTCTTTCATTGTATGATGAAATGACTACTGCTTTTACGGGATCTTCTCAGTCAACGGAATTTATTACTTCAGAGAGGAAAAGGACATCAAAGAAAAGAAGAGACGAAAGACAAGACACTAGCAGCGACATACTTATGAAACAATCGCTAAACAGTGGAGCAAGGGGAATAAAATGAATGGATTTATGCTGGCCACGACTTCAGCTATACCGTGGCCAACAAGGAATTTGTTAATATGGCACACTAATATTCGGAAAACATGTCATACTTGTTGTACTGTATACAAGAAACGTGAAAGATATAGTTTCATCATTTCGTACTGTTTCTTACCACGATTACATCATGATTACGCCATTTAAGCCTCTATCTAAAAAAAATCAATGGGAATAAATTCCAAATAATATAAATAGCACACTGTTTCTATAATACCATGACACCATACATTAGCTAATTAAACATTATATCCCTTACAGATTACAGCTTTCTCTTGTTTCAATTCATTTGATTCTTCAACGTCGTTTACAGAAGTCGAACTTTTAGACAAAGTCACTATTGGCGAATATTTTCCAGAGAAACAGACTATTCAAGTTCATATAAGCATCCAAATCAACATTTTTTGAAATGGCAACAAATGTTTATTTGATTTATAAGGGCTCTGATTATAATTAAAGAGTGTTGTAATTCTCAATCAGAGTCTCAAGTAAATCCTCCTTTTCCTCTGCGAGTACCAACAACTGATTAGTAATATCTCTAGAATGTAGATATAGATATAGGTAGGCGTTATGAAAATGAGTCCAACCTCAAGATCTACGGTAATATCCGCGTCCCAATCCGAAAGTAAACTCTAAATCTTGAGTTTCTACAAAAATAACTCGCAGCGACACAAGAAAGGCAACATCGGATTCTATTCTTTGAACGATTCTGTCTTCTTATTGAATTGTACCTGTCATAGATAGTTCGAATTCTTTCTATTATTAGCTTACCGCTATCATGATCCGTTTTGCTAACTGGCTCTCAATGAATATTCCTATGCATCGGCATCACATATGTGTCATCAAACTAACTACAGATATGCTGATAATAATGGGTAGAAAATGTCGATCAAGGGATGTTACACAACTTACTGATGTCACGACCAACAAATGCCTTTAGTTCTGAATGAAAACAACATCCTCACGACTCTTCATTACTTCATCGTTCTCTTTCACACTTTCTTGACAACAACACATGCAGAAGAACGTGACGTAGAGCAGAAATGAACAATGTATAAAACGATAAAATACCAACCTATTTCTGAAGTCTAATAGAAAATTTTCGTCTTCATCGTTGTTTCAGAAAACAAAGCTGATAAATCATATTCGCTTGTGACTTCTCACCTCTAGCAGCAGTATCAGATTGACATAAGTATTAGATCACATGCCAATAATATTTGTTGAGTCGAGTTGTAACTATCAACCCAGCTTGTAATGAACTCGGCTCCTGGTTCGATATTAAAGGTCGAAATATTTTAAGTTTCGTCTCAAACTTATCACTGATGTATAAATTTCTCTTTAGTACCAACATGCTCAGACAACGTGCAAAACGGACTAGAAACAGGTGTCGATTGTGGTGGCTCTTGTCCTTTCAAATGTAACAATTGGTTCTGCGTATTAGACACTGAGTGTAAAAGCGGTGTTTGCTCGTCACAAACTTGTCAAGGTAGGTAACTACAAAAATACTGTTTCTTATACAGAAAGGAGATTTCAGCGCCTACTTGTAATGATGGTGTTCGAAATGGTGGAGAATTCGATATTGACTGTGGTGGTCCATGCGTGAAACGATGCAATGGCGGCATTTGTACATCAGCTGATGATTGCTGGAGTGGTGTGTGTGGAATCAATAAAACCTGCTCAGGTACATGAATCTATCAAGAAATTCTTGAACACACACCATTTATTTAGCACCCAAGTGTTCCGACAACATACAAAATGGAATCGAAACAGGCATTGATTGTGGGGGATCTTGTCCTGAAAAGTGTGGCAACGACCACTGCATATATGATAGCGACTGTAATAGCAGCATTTGTTCATCGCAAATCTGTCAAGGTATAAAACTCGAAACAAATGTACTGATTGTTAAAATACAAAGAAATTGCAGCGTCTTCTTGCAGTGATGGTGTTCGAAATGGTGGAGAAATTGGCATTGACTGTGATGGTCCATGTACGAAACGATGTAATGGTCGTGTTTGTACATCAGCTGAGGATTGTTGGAGTGGTGTGTGTGGACTCAATAAAACTTGTTCAGGTAAATGATTCTTGTAACCAATTTTGAATCTAAAATCTGCTTTTCAGTACCGTCATGTTCTGATAACATACAAAATGGTCTCGAGACAGGTGTCGATTGTGGTGGGGTTTGTCCTCTCAAGTGTGACTCTCAGTCCTGCAAGCGTTGTTCTGAGTGTAAAAGTGGTGTTTGTACAAATTGGCCACGTTGCACTGGTAGGAAACCAGAAAAATGATTCTCGAATGTTTAATGGACATTGTAGAGGCTACTTGCTATGATGGTGTTCGAAATGGTGGAGAAATCGGCATTGACTGTGATGGTCCATGTTTGCGTCGATGTAATGGCCGTGCTTGTATATCAGATGATGATTGCTGGAGTGGCGTATGTGGAATCAATAAAACTTGTTCAGGTAAATGATTGTATTTAGGAATTTCTACTTTTCAACTCTTGTCTTTAGTACCTTCATGTTATGATAACGTACAAAATGGGGTCGAAACAGGCGTTGATTGTGGTTGGTTTTGTCCTCTAAGGTGCAACTCTCAGTTCTGTGCTTCAGATGCTGTGTGTAAGAGCAGTGTTTGCGTAGGGTATGGTTGTCAAGGTATGAAGATTGAAAAAAAAAGACTATGTGAAATATATACTAAGGAATTTGTAGCGCCTACTTGTAATGACGGTGTTCGAAATGGGGATGAAGTCGATGTTGACTGTGGTGGTTCATGTCTCAAACAATGCAATGGTGGAGCTTGCGACGTAGATAATGATTGTTGGAGTGGCGTGTGCGGAATCAACGAAACTTGTTCAGGTAGATGATTGTACTTAGGAATTTCTGCTTTTCGACTCCTTCAGAGTGTGAGGGTAGATGTGGGTGGGCGGGTGTGTGAGTATGTGTCTCGGTATTTGTGTAGGTGTGGTGTAGGCATGTACCAAATCCAAATCTTTTCAAGTCCAAACACAATTCCAGGTTTGGATTTGACATACCTGTCTAAAAAATTGAACTTCTTCAGCATCAGGACCCGTCAAAGTCGACAAAATCTTTCTGTCATTTCTGTTCAGCTTTCATTGCTCTATCCGATAGTAGGACTAGATTTCGTCTAACAGTAAAAACAGATCTAAGGTTTGACAGGATGTGACAAAAATTATCAGTTTTTCCCCCATTTTATCTCAAATCTTGTCAAACCTTAGGTCCTTTTTACTATTAGCCGAAATCTAGTACTACTATTGGATAGAGCGATGAAAACTGAGCACAAATAATACAAAGATTTCATCGGGTTTGACGGGTTCTGATACTGAAAAACTTCAATCTTGGGAGAGATATGTTAAATCCAAGTCAAGTCAAATTCAGTCAAACCCAAACCCTAAGTCCAGTCAAATCCTGTCAAATTCAGGATTTCAGTTTGACAGAATTTGGACTTGGTGCATCCCTAGTGTGGTGGATGCGGACTTGAAAGAAATAGATTAATCCTAAATACTCAAAAACACACTTATACTCACAATCATACCCTTAAGAGCACCACAATATCATTGAAATCGAAAAGACTCCAAAGATTTAGCAGTCATTCATAGAATACGCAGTGCGAAATATGTTCATTTCATTCCACGTGAGTGGTCTGGTAGAATTCATCTACAAACAAGTACTCGAACTAGGTCGTATTTTACTATTAATATATCTTAATATCTGTATGTAATAATAGTATCAAATTTCGGGACAAACTAGGTGACACAAAGTCATTTGTTAAAGGAAATTTAAAATAATTTTGAAAAGTACAATTAAATCGTCAATAAGTAGATGAGTTTCTCTTATGCTGACATGAAAAATATGAGTCAGTTTAAATCTATATGTTTATTCGAAACGATAGAAAAATGACCAATTCGGACTTTTTCTGAAAACGAAAATTCTATTGAAGAAGCTAAAGAAATTCTCTGAAGAAAAAAATACGGAAAAGACTGTAGATGATTAAAGATCGTATGAATAGTAAGAAATCAATATCTTGTCAAAATAAGGTTTTATTAGTACTAAAAATCATAAAATAACCGCTTTTTTTCATATTTACTTTGTCCTTCGTTCAGCTCTCTTTCCATTTCAAAATTATCACAGCACAACTTACTTAGGTTAAATCAATTCATAATTAAACTTACGAGAAATTGCATTTGTCCACAGTTTAAAGATTCAACTTTTCTTTTGTTCGAGTTTAGAACAAATTTTAAGAAATAATCAAAGTCTAAAAAACGTATCAGATTCGCGATTTAGAAATGTTCTTGTAAAAGTTACCTAAATCCATAATTTTCATTTCTTATAAATGTCAATAATTTGTTAACATATAGACTTAAGTTGCAGCATTACGCTTGATTTGAAATCCTATGATCATTAAAAACTAACCAGCTTTAATCCTTCCTCGAAGTTAAAAGTTTCTACAGTTCAATACTCCTGCAATTTTTCACGGTCCCAACAGCTTTAACTTGATTTTCACTTTAGAGAAATTCAACTAAAACAAAAGAAAAAAAGATTTATTTTGTTTGTCTAATTTATTTAATTCAATTGTGGGTTGTTGATATTGTATCATTTTTTGTATTCTCGAAAATTGCATCCACAGTAAAACAGATAAACAACACTATTATTTTCGAAGTACTTTATAGCTTCACATTCCACATATTCGAATAGGAAAACTCTGAATGATTGAATAAGAAATAGTAATTATATCATTATTTTTTAGTGTTGTGAAAATCTTCAAAGTTGAACATAAGAAAGAATATGAAAAAAGGGTTGAAATCTATGTCTTCTTATGAAGTTTTCAGATATCAATCACACAACTGACGAAAATATCAGATGCCTTCAAATTTTTAGGAGCTCTTGAGTATTCAATTGAAATTTGGAAGCGAATTTTGCTTTCCTAAGATTCCATTTTTTATATTAGGTATTTTTGCAAGTCCATTTCGGTTTCGTATCATCGTTTTTATCTTGGATTTAATAGTGTGATCTTCCGGGTACTATCCAGTTCGTTTATGATAATAAAGATTTTTGATAATATTGTTCTGGTTATAGAGCAAGTAGTTGAGTTCCTAACAGCAATAAAAAGTTACTCTAGAGTACTTTTTAAGTGTTAAATTATGTTTTATCGGATATCCTTGGGTTGTCGAAGCCTTTCAGTTTCCTAGAACATCAAAAATTTTCAGAGTGTACACTGCATACAAACATTTGAAGTTGTTTTGAAGGAACGTTCACAGAAGTCAACAAATCTGCATTACGATCCAAATAGCTTATGTTCTCAAAAGATAGGACAACCTCTTTTCAGACAGTTTGCGAAGATGACCCATACATTTCGAAAATTAAAAAGACAGGAAAAATTGGAAATTTTCGGTAATATTGAGTTTATTATGTGAAGAATTCTGCACATCTAAACCTGATTTTTATTGATAGTGGAAACCTTCGTTCAATTTCTGACATAGAATAAGCTTTTATTTTGCTATATGTGTTTGCTAATCTAACCAAACTCAGTATTAAAAAAAAATTTCACGTTTTTCTTTTTCGCCTTCAGAGTTTCTTTTATTTATTTTAGGTGTAAACAGGTGATTTTTGTATATCTCTAGGAAACAACTTTTCAAGAAAACTTTTTAAGATGGTACTTTTTAGTGTCAACATGTAGATAGTTGACTGCTGCTGAGGTTAGTCCATACGACTAAAGATTTCTCGATGGATCGGATAAGTTCTGAATGAGTTTTCATGAGAGAAAATTTTCGGTCGGTATTGACAGCTCATTTTTCCAGAACTTGAACTAAGCGTGTTTTACGATGTTTGAAAGTATCTCTCTTCAAATTATAGGTATTCGTACAGATGAACTATATGCATCTTATAAAGTTGGGTCATTGCAGTATTAGCATAAAAAAAAAAGTATCACAGTGATTCTGCCAACGACTAGTACGGGTACGAGAAACCGTGATGATAGTGTACGTCTAAAAAGCAATTAATCTTTAGATAGAATATAAAAAAGCTTCAACATTGTCGGAATAGTTGGAAATTTCTCATTTTCTCATTTCGTTCTATTTCTTTAGGTATTTAATTATATGAAAAGAAACAATGGCTTCTTTGGTATATAATACATAACAACAGAGAACTTACAATTATGCACACTTTATTATCGTTTTGTCACTTTTTATTCAGTTTTCTTCTATCTACAACATATTAATAATGTGATGTAATATTCATTACCTCATTTTATTTCAAGAAAAACTATTGATTGAATTTTCTTTTTCTTTGTACTTGGGCGTATTAGTCTATCTAGCCGACATAGTTTTGTTCAATTTCTACTTACACTCCTAAAAAATTTCTCATACGGAAACTATGTGGGGTGTAACAAGTTTTATCACGATACTTTTAGTTCCAGCTTCGGACTTTGCACAACAGTTAAACATGATGCGTGTGGGTGTGGGTGGGTGTAGGTGGGTGTGGGTGTGGGTGGGTGTAGGTGGGTGTGGGTGTGGGTGGGTGTGGGTGGATGTGAGTGGGAGTGTGGGTGTGAGTGCGTGCGGATGTAGGGTATGGGATGTGGGTGTAGGTTTAAGCATCAGTAGAATGAAATGCTAGGGTGCGGGTGTGTGTGTGGGTGCGGGTGTGCAGGGGTGGTGGGGGGGTGGGGATTGGGTTGAGCGTGGTGTTGGGGGGTGGGCGGGGGGGTGGGTGTGGGTGTGACTGTGGATGTGGGTGTGGGTGTGGGTGCAATGAAGAAGTACATTCATACATCCACACTCACACTCACACCCACACCCACACCGACATTGCACATCCACGCTCACACCCATACCCACACCCACACCCACCCCCCACACCCCCACCCCCACCCCCCCCCCCCCCCCACACCCACATCCACACCCACACCCACACCCACACTCGCACCCACACCCACACCCACACCCCCACCCCCACCCCCACCCACACCCACACACCCACACCCACACCCACACCCACACCTAAACCCACACCCACACCCACACCCGCACCTCACACCCCACACCCCACACCCCACACCCACACCCACACCCACACCCTTGTGAATATTGTTGCGTTAGTATGACTATTTTTAATATTTCAGTTGCGTATTAGTGTGTGGGTATCGATGTAATCGTATGAATTAACGAAACAAAGAATCACAAGAACATGCATATCATCGTGTGCAAATATACTGACGCGCATATGAACATTTACGCGCGCACCCAACCTTTTTTAACATTGGATACTAGTGTTGTGGACGGTGGTGAAGTAGCTTACTATGCCCAAAAGTAGCTGAATATTCAGTCGAGGGTCAAGCGAGTCATGTCGACGAGCCTTACTTGTACTGTTGGGCTACAGTTTTGGTATGGATGAACTTTCTGTAAAGATCAACACCCACACCCACGCACACTAACATCCGCACATCCACCTCCAC